TTATCTCTTTTTCAGTTAAGTTGCTTGAGAGTATAGGAGGTAAGATTTGGTGAGAGGTGGTTTGCCAATTTGTGTAATTCATATCGCCTATAGTAATAGTTTCGTTATAAAATTTATGATAAAGGTCCCGTTCAAGATCTGTGTCAAATTATTGTATGTTAAATTTCCTATAAAGTTAGAAATGAAAACCGTTCCATCTGCACTAATTCTATTACAGGATCATTTCGAACTTGATAGTCGCAAGTCGCTTTCCCTCCCGCGAGGATTTATGGAATACAATGGTTTTCATCCAAAGGTTCTAATTGATTTCTTTTGCATATTGTTATATCGTCAATAATCATGCATTTTTCGCGAATGCCGTATTTTCCTTCTGGCGCAATGAAAAATTTACTAAATTGAAGATAAATTTGTTTGTTATTTTTTACTGTTGACCGGATAAGAATTTTGTTATAAAATATGGTTGCAATATACGTATAGGAGAAGCGAATCTTTGACTATCATTGACGGTTCTGCGTATCTGAGAGCTTCTAATTCATTTTTGAAAGGTAGAGTTTCGGTTTGGGAAATTATATTGGCTATATCTGCTTTGTTTAATAAATGAGAATGAACTATACCTTTCTTCGCAAGTTGAGTAGCTAAAACTATTTGCGAGATTTCATATTTTACTAATCCTAGCTTATTATATAAAGATTGTTCGAATCTAACTGTATCGTTTGCGTCGATTTCGTCGAGTATTTATTGTAATTATCCAGTATTTTATTAGTCGTTTTAATTAAGTAGTTATTGATCGTGTACTGCTTGTTACTATTTCCTGTGAGGTCATTCGATGTAGTCACGATTTTGTCCCAGTCGGTTGCGTCTGGATTACCCGCGAGCCATTTCCAGGCTGAGCCAATCCAATTGATTGATCGTTTGTTCTTTTTAACGTTTCTAGCCCGTAACTGATCTAAAAGGTTATCGATTTGTGAGACTTGGTAGTCTAGCTGTGAAGCTAGAGGGCTTGTTCTGCTAGTTTGATAGCGTATAATGGGTTTGATGTCATTGAGAATTCGTTCATAATCGTCCAAGTCGATGGCGTGTATGACTTTGTAGTAACCGTTTGATATTTTTCCTATGCCCTCTTTTATAGTCACCAATGGGCTTTTGTATTCGTATATGTCCACTGTTGCTTCCATACCCCATGGTATCAACCTAATAAACGGAAAATTTGTACAATTTTTTAGTGCGATTTGTGAATTTTTCTGTTATTACTAGTGTGATTGTTACATTATTGTCTTTCCCTACGGTTTCTTTCTTATAAATAGGTTTATTTTTCTTTTTTATTTGTTTGTCTTTTTTAAAAACGGTTTCGCCTGGTTCATATGTTTTAATTTTTGTCCTTTTTTTGTTGTGCATCCATCTTTCTGGCTGGCATTCGTTCTGACGTACTCAAATCTTGATCCTTCAGTCTTTTATTCTGTTCGTCCTGCCAAGGAAGATGTCGGATAGTTTCTTATTTGTTGCTGAGTGGATCGTATTATTATATCTATCAACAGCAATGTTAATGATCTCATTAACAGAAAAGTCGGGATATTCGGCTTGAAGACATCGAGCTATTTCGATTATTGTAGAGTGGGCGCGTTCCACCGCACCATTTACTTCGCTTTTCTGAGGAGGGGTCAAATAGATTTCTATTCCTAAGGCCTCCAAGTAGTTCAATGTGATTGGGCTAATAAAACTGCCCTCATTGTCCATTACCAGCGTTTTCGGGACAGAGTAGAAATGAAGAAGCTTTATCAACTTGTCTCGGATATGTAGAACAGATTTATTTTTTATTCGGAAAAATTTTACGAATTTTGAGAATTTATCCAGGCAGGTTATATATTTTTCCCCTGCAATTTCGATAATATCTATATGGAGAATCTCACTGGGATACGATGGAACAGGTGTGGCTTGGATTTCGGGTTTGGGAGGTCGACGTTCGTACTTGTTACAATGGCAAATTTCACACGATTTTGTGTCAATCTTTGATTAATTTGGCCATTTGTGGAAAATAAAATGTTTCCAATATTTGTTCTTATTTTCTCTCCCATTCCGATGAGCTCTTTTGTGTTCTTTTTTAATGATAAGGAACTTCTCTTCATCGGTAGCAACATCGCTCACTACCCTCTGGGTGATTCTAATTCTAAATCTCGAAAAGAATTTTTAAAGATTTCCTGCTACAAGGGGATGTGTTTTTCTGGTATTTTAATTCCATTAACTAAATTTGGGTTTAGGTAACTTTTTAATATAGTTTTTATATTCTCCTTGCTAAGCCTTCTTTTTGACACGTAGTGCCTTTGATAATTGGGGTGTGGTTCTTCATGATGTTCTCGTTCTTGTCCTTCGGAAATGATTATCTGAGACTTAAATACATTAACCCTTGGAGGTTCAGGGATATTTTGGCGCCAACTGGTACAACTAGGTCTGCACAGACCTACATGAGATTTGTATGGGAAAACACAGGCAGGTGTCCCAAAAGTTTGTGTAAATGTGTTTAATGCTAGGAAAAAGTCAGGATGAACAATAAAAACATATTTTTATATTTTCTAGGTAACAATATACCCTATTTTATTTATCATAAGTAAGAAAATAAAGGTTAGGCACGACATTCAACGCACGCGTACTTGGCATGTGAATGCTGTTGACACACTGGTTTTTTGCAATACATGCAATGAAATCTAGTCTTTCGCTGCTTTTTATCCAATTTATAGCAGAGCGAGCACGATGGTCGAGTTGCAGAGGAAACGGCATGGACTGGTTGATCATCTATCGGTGGGCCTGCAGCTACCTGCGAAAAAAACGTTGAACAAATGATTTTAGAACTTGAATTCAATGAATGAATACATATATGAAATGCTTACCTCTACACCGAATAACGCCATTGCCACTTTGACGTGTTGAATACCTCGTACAATGGGATTCGTTGCTCTTTGCTCCATGTGAGGAACCACCAGCTGTTCTGCCAATTCCATGAGGAATACACGTCTTCGGTCGGTCCTCTTGACATGCCCCAATTTGTCATGAATGACAAATGCAGCCAAGCCCGCCACGTCCAGCATGTTATAGAACAGAGCTAACGGCAACCGGTTTGTGCCCCGTTTGCACGTGTAACCGCTAACCATCTGATCCATGGTGTCCACTCCGGATTTATACTTATTGTAGTCCAGAATTTGAAATGGCTTCTTCGATGGCTTCGATGAGTCGACGGCGGAATTGTAATGTTCGGTCGAGATGAGAACCACAACTTTTTTCTTTTTTGGCACGTATGAGCATAGTGCGATGTTATTATTGTGGTAACCGAATACTGTACTGAATACATCTCGTTTTGGATCCAACATCTCCTTCGGTATGCAGGCTTTGTTTTTGCGCATGGTTCCTACATATGCCAACCGTTTTGTCACCAAAGCCGTGGCCAAATCAAAAGACGAGAAGAAATTATCGGCATATATTGTTCGTCCAGAACCGGCGTATTTTTCGACCAATTTAAGAACAACATTCTCGCCTTGATTTACCGCACGCGCTTCATTTGCCTGTTTTCCAACACATATTATTCCTTTCAGTGGGTAATTGGAATTGGCGTCACACATCCACCAGACTTTAATTCCGTATTTTGCTGGTTTCGATGGAATATACTGGGTGAAACGCGTGTGGCCTCGGTACGGGAACAATTGCTCATCTATAGTTATCTGGGCACCCGGAACATATAGACGCTCCAAGTTGCTCATGAGCATGTTCCAAATGTCGTCAATGGCGGCCGATTTGCTTTCTAATAGTCGAGCGGGTCTCGTGTTGCCGTTATCGAATCGAATATATTGTAGAATAATTTTATAGCGGTGTGCAGACATCGTCGCCCTGTAGATAGGGTTTCCGTTGTTGCCCCACAACTCAAGAGCAGGCTGACTGTTTGACCCGAATATGCCGGCAAACAAAGTTAGGCCAAAAAAGGCGTATATTTCATTTTCGGTTACAGGTTTCGTCCACGTTCGCGGTGTCTGGTCAGGATTCTTGGCACACCACAGGCGGCATAGTTCCTGGGCCTTTCGGTTCGTTTCACGCACAATTATACTAACGATTTCCGGTGTTATTATCGATTTAAATATTGAAACCGGGGATCGCATAATCCCTGGAGCCGGGCCTTCGCGACCCACAATAGCGCAGTTATGCGCACGAAGTCTACCTGTGCACGGCGGAGCGCTTGACCAAAGCTTGCCATCCTTTGAACGGTATTTAATAATCGAGCTCGCCGAACGAGGCTCCTCGTCCATATCGACGGCTTCAAGCGCTTCGGGTGCAGCTGCAGCGCCTTCATATAAATATTCCAAATCCTCATCATCGTCATATGGAGTCTCGGTTTCTATAACGGTCTCAGTCTCAGCATCGGAAGCCGCATCTTCTAACGTCGGCACATAATCAGGATCCGTGACGTCGTCGCCTTCGAATGCATTGATTTCCTCGGCTTCTCCATCAGCACCGGCCAACCATATTGCTAACCTTTCTTCCATTTGCCTCCTCTCTTCTTCCGATAAATTTTGATATCTTGTGGTGCGATTCACCACGTCCATCATATCATCATCGATACTGGATGCTGAAGCCATTTTTCTATATGTAAACAAACAGAAAAAATTACACTTACCTTATATTTTTGTGGAAAACCCCAAAATAAATTCACTTCAATAAAAACTTACAGGTGTTTGCACTACAGCTTCACTCGTTTCAATAAAAACTCACAGATGTTTACACTACAAACGCTGCTGCTATACACGTTGCATGCGCTCAATTCAATCTGAACGTTCTATATAAAGTTTTACAGGCACCACCAAAAAAACTAATATTTTTAATTTTCAAATCGAAACGGTTTCATAACAGCTATTAGATGAGAAATATTATTTATTTCGCCGGTAAGAGTTATAATACAGCGTTTATTTTTTACGTTGCTTGATAACAGTTATTTTCCAGCTTTTATTTTTTACTTTGTCTGATAAGTGTTATAAGTTAACGATATCTATGAAGATGGAGATGAAGTGGAAGGTAAATATGATGAAAACAAAAGTGAGATAGTGAAAAAAACTCTCTTCAAGCAATGTAAAAAATAAGTGTTGCGAAATAACTCTTATGAGCAACGGAAAAAATATTTCTCCGGCATAACAGTTATCAGGCAAGGTAAAATATAAACGTTGGGTTATAACTCTTATCGGCGAAATAAAAAAATTTTCTCATCTAATAACTGTTATGGGGCAAGGTTTTTGCGATAAAACTTATAACTGTTATGTCCGTGGTCAAAACATTTTTAAAACGCCTGCTCCAGCATTCATGCCACACATAGGTCTGCACAGACCTGTTTGGTCCGTTTGAGCCATTACGTTTGCACACACTAATAAAACCCAACACAAACACAAAAGAGGTCTGATTTTATGCTTATTGTGTTCGCCGTAGCCGCTTCTAGGAAGTCATGGAAGGATTCGTCTCTAGCACGCAAAACTAAAAAGTTATACACACGTTTATGTGCAAAAGGTCTGCACAGACCTGGTTGAACCTCCTAGGGTTAATAGGAGCTTCGCAATGAGGAATCAAATCTGTATTGTCCTCGTCTGCGCTATGCTGGGAATTGTCATCTGTTGACGTTAAAACGTTAACTTCAGTTGGTAATCGCGATAGAGCATCGGCTACCGTGTTAGTTTTTCCAGGTTTGTATATTAACTTATAGTTGTATTCTTCTATCCTTGCCTTCCATCGTTTTAGTTTAGCATTGTTATTGCTGTTGCTTAAAGCGAAGGTGAGGGGTTGGTGATCGGTTAATATTTTTATTTCCTTTGCACCGTAAAGGTAGGTCCTAAGCTTGTCGAGTGCCCATATAATAGCGAGCATCTCCTTCTCAATAGTTGAATAATTTTCCTCGGTTTTGTTAAGCGATCTGGAGACGTAAGTAATTGGCTTATCTTTGCCAATTTCGCCCTGAGAGAGGACAGCTCCAATAGCTACATTGGAAGCATCTGTTGTCAGGATGAAGGCTTTGGAGAAGTCCGAAAATGTAAGGATCTCCGAAGACATAAGTAACTCTTTTAAGTCATTAAAAGATTTCGTGGCTTCTTTGTTTAGTGAAATGCTAGCCCTTTTAGATTGATTTGCTTTTGTTTGGCCGTAAATACCTCTTTTTAGGTTTGTGAGAGGCTTAGCAACTTTCGCAAAATCCCTGTAATAGGAAGCTAGTCCTAGGAAGTTTTTTAGTTCCTTCAAGTTTTTGGGTGGCAATATCCTTTTTATAGAGGAAATTTTTTCAGGGTCGGGTAGGATTCCATCCTGTGTGACAACGTGCCCTAAAAATTCTACATGTGTCCTGAGGAATTTCGATTTTTCGCAGTTGACTTTTAGTCCTGATTTTTGAAGTAATTCAAACACAAGTTCTAAATTCTTTAAATGTTCTTCTCAATTAAGGGTTTCAGAACATCATTAATCATCCTTTGGAAGATGGATGGCGCGTTTCTAAGTCGGAACGGCAACCTGGTAAACTCATATTTACCATTGGCCGTTGAAAACGCTGTTTTCTTTGTATCCTTTCCCTTCATTCTGATCTGGTGAAATCCAGATGTTAAATCGAGTGTGGTGAAGTACTTGGATTTGCCTAAACTTGCTAATGTGTTATTTATATCCGGTATGGGATATGTGTCAGGAATAGTTACCGCATTTAAGCGTTTAAAATCTATAACTATCCTGTACCTTTTTTCCCCAGATGGGCCTGGCTTCTTCGGCACTACCCATAAGGGAGAGTTGTAAGGACTTTTTGAAGGCCTAATTATGCCGTCTCTTAGCAACTCTTGTATCTGTTTATCTACTCCTTCCCTAAGATTTGCTGGGTAANTTTGCTGGGTAGGGGTATGATTTTGTGTAAACGGGTTCCTCCGTTGTTGTTTTAATTTCTGCGCGGACACTTGTGTCAATAGTGCCGCTGTCCGAAACAGGACCAAAAATTTCTGCGTATTTCCGCTTAATAGTTTCTATATCATTAGTAGCAGTGGTTAGGGTATTTACTTGCCTAACTGTTTTTTCTTGTAATTTAATTTCGGTATCATTTAGTCGTAGCGTATTATTCTTCCTATCAATTATAGCTCCCAAATGTTTCAAGGTGTCGTCCCCTATTATACCGTCGAAGGATTTAAGGTTAGGC